GAAAATAAATCAGAAAACATCTAAACTTTCAGGACCTCGAGTTTTTGGATTTGATATTGAACCTTTACATAAAGCTCACTTACAAATAGAATGTACATGTTCAAAAACCAACAAATGAAATAGACCTTTAGAAGATTTCTATATCCTCCTCACTCCGTTCCTGGTGGATTTGGCAGATATTGTAGGTTTAAATAGAGACCCCAAAGTTCAGCATAAGCCGCCACAAGCATTGCCAAAATTGCCAAAATAAAATCTAACTTAATCTATTATATATGTAATATAATTGAATCAAAGTTTTTACACTTTGTAGTTGTTAAATGACTTTCTACCAGCAAAAACATGGCGGCCTCAAAGTGCCTGTGACGTAATCATGACACATCACAGTATATATTGAAATCTAAAAAAATTGAACCCATAAATTGTAGAATTTTTTAATTCCATATTTTTTATAATACTAATTTTTAGCATACGTAATATCTATTATTCTATTTGATCTTTCAGTTGATTAACAACAAAATTTATTGTAATACTAATATATATTTATTTTAGCGAGTAATACAAACTTTAAAAAGGAAATGCCAATCAAAGAGCGCAAATTTTGACCATTCCGGGTACCTTATACGGCGTTTTACGGTACGTACGTACTATATATACAAACTTTCAATTTACTTGTGTGTATTAGGGATTGGAACCGCCTAAAATTTTTCTTAATCGTTTAATCGCTTAACCGTTTAATTTAAATCAATTCCGGCCAACGACTAACATCATTTTGTCCGGAGCTATGAAGACGGTAAAAAGGTTCCAATCTCTAGTGTGTATAAGGGACTATAGAAAATAACCACAGGCTTAATCTATTTTAAGAAGTTTTTCCCGGACCACATAAATATTAAGCATTTATACTTTATCGAACGTTAGCTAAGACATAATTGGGGGGTTTTTTTTTTACAGAAACTGCTAGTCTGTTATTTTTTAAATATATAATTTTTAACGTTCATATCTTGTCCGGAAAACTAAAATAAATTTATATCTATTATAGTAAGCAAGATGAAAGTGTTAGATGGAGATGTTAATTGGCAAAGAACTTTTGAGCACCGTCATCTGATCTTAGTCTTTCGTTAGGTATACCATAAATTACCGTGCAAGAGACCCTCTTGATTTGTGCTGGGCATGTTTCAAAGAAATTTGTATTACCATTCACAGAAGTACAAACTATTCCAAAATTATAACTACGTTAAAAAATAAATAAATCAATTATTCAATAACTGTAATACCCTCTTATATACATTTAGATTCAATTCTAAAACTTCGTCCTAATTTTAATTTGTCAATAAAAAATAGCAATTATATATATATATTTTTTTAATTTTTTATTTAATATAAATATTATTGACATATTATATTCAAATTATTATTTTACTAATATAAATTACCTTTTAATTTATTTGCGCTATTTGAATCCATACCATCCCTAAGCTTTTTCAAAATGTTAAAAGCACCACCATTTTTTTTTGAATCAAAATCAATACATCGTTTAGCCAACTCAATATAATATTTAGGAGTTCCAGGAGTATATTCAGCTCGTAGTCGTGTATCGCTTAGCTAATTCGATATAATATTCGGAAGTCCCAAGAGCAAATTCAGATCGTAATCATGCATGGCTTAACTAATTCGATATAACATTCAGGAGTCCCAAGAGCAAATCCAAGTCATATTCGTTTGTGTACCATAAATTATCATGCAA